AGAACCTACATGCACAGCACTAGCATCATGACTGTCTTTGTTTAAACCAGCAGCAGTGCAGCGGTACACAGACTAACCTGTGTGTGTGTAACGTAGTTCTTCAGGTGTGTATGCTTAACATGTATGTTAACATGTATGTATACAAAAGTTTTTAAAGAGCTTTCAACCTCATCCCATTGTCTTTAACACACATTTAACATAATAATATACTAAGATCAGCTTTATTGTCAATTTACAATTTCCATGCTGTTCAGATGCCTCTCCCCAACGTTGCTTCCAGGCGAATACAGAGGAGTTGAAAAGAGCCCTTGGACATTCGGAAATCTTTGATCCACTGCACTTGTTGGCACCACCTCCCACCAGGCCGACGTTCTATTGTTCACCCAGAGTTCCGTAGTATTCGCATATCTGGAACACATACAAAGACACAAATTAGCCCTACATAACTCCATAAATCCTACATTAGATAGTATTAATGTGATTTAATGAACGTACCATTGCTGTTCTTTGGGCGTGATAACGGCCATCATCCTCAGCTGTCCTACGGCGAAACATGTCCATAGCGTGTGCTTTCGTCGTCCAATCCTTTTGTTAAGGCTTCTTAACCGCCTTCGCCTCCGACTCAGCATTTCTATTGCATTTGAATGGTCGATCTGTATTTGTATTTGTGGCTGAGTTATTGGCTTAAATAACTCAGTTACGAAGCTGTATAACACGACCACCAAAACGTCAACTCCATACCGTGTCTGAGGTCGGAAGGTAAACAGAAGCATACAGCGGAAGCGGAAGTTTTTTTTCTTCTTCTTCTCTCGGTTTTTTGGCGAATTGCAACTTTAAGGAGCATACCGCCACCTACTGTACTCGCCGTGAAGTTGTTTGCGGCCTGCCAGTAAACCCAAAGCAGAAGAAGAAGTGACGTCAGCGGCTCATTTGCCTAATCCACCCCCAGGAACTCATTTTGGTGTGAACGCGATCTGCTTTAGTTCATCAGAACTAAAGGAGCTCTCATGAACTAAAGTTCTCATGAACTACTGTGGGAAAAGTACTTGGTGTGAACGCCCCTGACAAGATCATGACATAGAACTCTTTCCAACTATGAATAGCAATGAAATGAAGGGGATTAGCAGAGAGGGATGATGACGACACTGCCGAGCAGAGATTGGTTTCATTCTGGGACGTTCTTGTCTTTAAAGTCATCTGGAACAGCCCTCTGTCAGAAGGCTCTCAGATCAGCAGAACATATTTATTTTTTGGAACAGCCTGGAGGGTTTTCAGAGAAATCTGTTTCTGTTTCTAATGATGGAGCCTTAAGCTCTTTGTATAAAAAAACCGAAATATTACCAATAACAGCTCACTGGTGGGTGGTGTGTCTTATCAGCAGCAGGTTTACCGGATCATTTTTGTGCAGATCCTGGTGGGGATTTTTGTTTACATTGTTTACCTTTTTTAAAAAGGAGTGTTTCTACACAAACGCACGCTACATCTTATTTGCTGTTACACTACTATCTGATAGCATGTTGTTGATCATTTCTACATCACTGTCATGTTTGTCATGTTTGCCTATTTCAGGTTTGCTATAAAAGTTGGCCTGTGTATCATTTAGTGGGAATGCTGATACAGCATTCCAACTATATGTTATGCTACGGACAAAATTCTTCTTATTATTCCGGCCACTTATTTTGGCCCTCTTCTCCTCCCACATTCAACATTGCAGAAACTCCGTTCAAACATCAAAACGTTCAGCTCGGTCGGGAATCACAGGCTATTACTTTTATCATTCATAACTTTCATAATTCCAGAGATACATCCCATAATTCATCCAATTTTTAACATGGAAGTCAATGGAGACATTCTTCAGCCTTTAACAAATCTTCATGCGACTTCAACTGCTAACTGTTCATTCATACTTTCACTCAGAAACCTCATTCCAACTTTAAAATGTTACACATCTTTCTGACATTATTCGTGTAACACAACTTTTAAATCTGATTCTTACTTTTAGAGATATTAAACATTGTTCAGACCTTGTTAAAGAGGTTTTCTTCAGATTTGAACAATAACTAGAGTGCGTGATGTCACAGCTAGAGTGTGGGAATTCTTGAAATGTGCCTTCATATATTTTTTTAAAACTGCCATAATTCCCAAACCCTACATTCCTGAGACATAATTTTTCATGACAAACGTAGGAAAACATCTCGTAGCTTGAAAAATGACAAATAATTAAGCAAAAATAATTCAACAAAATGCCTCTTGAGGGCATGAAGTGACAAAAATGTTCAACATGTCTCCATTAAAACCCATTGTAATTTCAGGCTGATATTTCCTCACAGCAGCAGCCGCACACCTTTAGTTAAACTGCCAAAAAGGCCACATTATTAACCCGAAAGTACACCAAAATTACACTTCAGATACTCAACTTCCTTGACATGCTTCACGTTTTGAAATTTCACAGATATCTGTTATCGTTCTTCCACAAAACGTTCACATGTAAGAGGTTTATCTCTCATTCAGAACAATGCAAAACCTTTGATCTCTTCAGAGCTCGTTAGGTCAACTATAAACACCTGTGTAATGGAACACGATGATGTCATCACTCCAACTGACAGCAGTCAGTTCTAACTGTTCATTTCATACTCACACACACACACACACACACACTCTCTCTCTCACAAACTGTCTCTCTCTCTCTCTCGCTCTCGCTCTCGCTCTCGCTCTCTCTCTCTCTCTCTCTCTCACACACACAATGTTCCAAACGGCCCAAAACTTCACAGGTTTGGTAACGATGCAGCCATCAACGCATCTAACCGTATTATGGGGTGTCATCAAATGCCGTTGCCATGCCGACAGACCACTCGCCATGAAGCACGATGTCGCTGTAAGTCCAATGGACACGGTCCGATTGTCCTCCAAACTTCGCTTGTATATCACCGGTACAGCCCTCAACAGCTCTACGTCAATTATGGGGTTTCTTCAAATGCCGTTGCCATGATAACACAAGGCTCGCCATGAAACAAGGTTTTCTCATAACTTCAGTGAAAATGCTCCAAACGGCCCAAAACTTCACAGGTTTGGTAACGATGCAGCCATCCACACATCTAAGCGTATTATGGGATGTCATCAAATGCCGTTGGCATGGCGACAGATCATTCACCATCAAGTTAGTTCAAAAGTTTGCAGTTCAAATATTCTGCTGCTTTTCCAAGCCTTTTTACTTTCTTTTCTTCTCTCAATATAAATTATTCACTTTCTTCTTACACATTACATTTCAGCATACAGTAGCAATTCAGCATCAGCTTTTCAGCATAAAGCATTCCCACTAGCAATTTCTTCAGGAATTGCATTCTCTAGTTTTCTATATTCTTCTGTCTCTGTACTCTTTTGTCACACTGATTACTTTGACAGCAATGACTCTGGAGCGTTATGTTGCCATCTGCATGCCCCTGCGACACGGAGAGCTGTCCTCCACACGCAGCGCTGTGCACTGCATCCTCATCATTCATGGCCTCAGCGCTGTTCCCTGTATTATGGTTCTCTCCGCCTTCTTTGCAACAGCCTCTCTTAGCTTTTACACAAAAAAAAGGATGTGTTCAATGGAGACCTTCAATGTGTACAGATGGCAGAGTCATATGTTGTCAGCTATAAACCAGTTGTACTTTTTGCTCATGTTTATTACTATTGTAGTATCTTATGTTAAAATAGTGAAAGTGGCCAAAGCTGCATCAGGAGAGAACAAGAAGTAAACATGGAAAGGGCTCAGAACGGTCATTCTTCATGCTTTCCAGCTGCTACTGTGTCTCACCCAGCTGTGGGGCCCGTTCATAGAAGCTGCTTTACTTCCAATTGATTTACAGTTATATATTGATGTCAGGTACAATAACTACATAATGTTTATACTAGCTCCCAGATGTCTGAGTCCTCTCATCTATGGCCTCAGGGATGAAACATTGTATCATGCATTGAAAAGCTATGCTTCCTTTGGCTTGTATAAAAAAAATAGAGTCTTTTTTTCTTCAAGAAAAGCATTATACTAACATTTAAATTATTTTATTGAAACATATCAAAAATGACTAAACCTTTAATTCACTTTCACAGTAGCTAAGATTTGGACGGATGTTCAAAAAGTTCTACTTGTAATTCTGTTTGTTGTTATAAACTGGAATTTGACTACATTGCTATACAAATAAACCCCACAATAGATATCATTATTGCAAATACACTGAATGTTAAGCACTACAGAAATTACACATGCATATTTTTGCTTAACTCATCAATGTTTGTTGCAGTATATCCACTCTTGTCATTCAGAAGGTTTTTTTTGTTGATGCAAAGAACATTCCTTTTTAAAATTGACGTGGTCATTTTGCATTTTGATTTTAGACGAGTTTGACCTAAATCAGTAGCTTTTAACAACAGCTGCTGTTCCCATTATATAATTCCATAATATCACAAACTGCATACAGTTCACTTGTGCCAAGAAAAACTTGAAAAAAAACTCAAGTGTTGGAATCCTTGAATCCATTTGAACTAACAGAAGTTCAACGGGGCTTTTATTTTTTCCTGTGCTATTTATTGATTTTACCAGACGTGACACTTTTGTTTGTTGAACTTTGTGAGTCTACTTGTGTGCAAAATGTCCTTCTGGAGACACCAACTATAGCAGGACAGCTACAGAGGAGCTTTTGAGTCATTTGTCCATCTGTTCTGGTCCAAGAGGCCATTTCCCCCCGCAATTGCCTACTGTCTGTGCAAATAGTAATATATAGTTCCTTATTTTAAAATGTATCTTACATTTGTAATCCTGTTTAAAATCCAAATGTATACTCAGTGTATCGGTCATCTGAATATGTCTGTTTTAGAGTAACCGTAACTGTAAAAAAACTTGTCCTTTTCTTGTATGCTAAAACGTTTTCCATGATTTCCATTTTTCCCCAAACCTGGTAGTAACCACAAAGCCATTTAGGACCATGTAATATGACGGCAAACAAGGACCCATAAACACGTTCAAATACTCAAAGATTTATTTTAAATGTTCTATTACATGAACAGGGAAAAATACAATAGTGGAAACGATAGCTTTAAAATACAATAAATATACAATAAACAACAATGTAATCCAATGTCGGATAAGCCCTCACTGCCATCCAATATATACAGAAGAATTTAATCATAACTTCATCATTGATCAGAAAAGGGCTGCTAATATTAACTAATCAAATAAATAGTCTTAAATAAGGATTCATGCAACATTAAAGAATTACTAATAGAACTTATTTTATTCAGTTTGTCAAATGTTGATCTTCTTTGTGTAAATCCTAACACATATAGATCTTACAGGCTCAAAAATAAATAGAGACATGATAGGGAAATCAATGAATGAATGAATCACTTAGTCCTCTCGTAGATAAGCCTCATGCACCTCATGCTCCTCTCCATCTAGAAAGGCAACATATTCTGCCATCCTTTGGATCTCTTCTGCTTTAGTCTCGGCCAACTTCTTATCTGCAGTCACTGCCAGTTTCCGAGCCTCCCCCACCTGGGACTGGGCCACCTGGATGCTTGCCCTCACTGTGATGGAGGCCTGATCGGCTCCTGCAAACACACAGATGATAACACACATTTAGTCAAAGTGCTAAGAAAGTTCAAGGGTTGACATAACACTATCATAAGTTAAAATATTAAATGTGGAACTTAAAATCATTTTTCTTTTACTGAAGCTCTACCAATGTGTACACATGGTATCATAAAAGTGATTTGAATCCCCTCCTTGTTCCATCCTTATAAATACAGCAACATTTCACAATTTTCACTAAGCATTAAGAGATGCAGCTGTCCTTAGAGATTTTACCCACCTGAAGAGTGTGCTGCCTCGGCTGCCATTTTGCACAAATTGACAGAATTGATCCAGTTTGTCTCAAAGAGTTTGCATTCTTGTAGCCTGTCACTTGCCTGTAAGGGCAGACAGATAAGAACAGAGATGAGAACCACTCAATATTATAAATGTATCTAATCTATCCTTTTTGCAAAGAGTGAAAGCTCATTTTAAGAAACCCAGAATGCTAGAGTATACATCAAGGTTTATTTTCCAAAACTAACCTCTGCACGCTGGGCATTGATTGCCGCCAGAAACGAATCCTCCTCTGATGGAGACAGTTTTCCCAGTGAAGCTAAATACCGTCTTTGGACAATGATGCGTGTTTGCACAGCCTGTTAGCAAACAGAAGAAGGACCGACAGTCAGGGACAGTTCATGGACATTTTAAAATGTAAATTAAAGTCTGGATTTGTACATATGCAAAAAGAAAAAACATAAAGAAAATGAAGTCAGTGTCATTTCTTAGTGCTATTATTCTCTGTGTAAAATCATGAAAAGATGCAGAGATTTAAATCATAATTATTGGTGATACAGCTGCAATTAAAACTAACAATGTGGACACTGATGATCTTTGTGTTGTTTAGTAAAGCCTGACAATATATTTATTTCGATTTTTCTTCTCAGACTGTGGTTGGAAATCATAAACTGTTGATATACTGTAATGCTGCACATTGGATGAAAACCTACCTTTGAGTAATCTGTGAGGGCATGTACGAGAGCCAATGAGGTCTGGGAGAGCAAAGTACTTGAACTGTCTGTAACCACAGAGGCTGCTCTTATGATCAGGGAGTCGTAAGAGAGGTTTTCAATTTTCTACAGATGGAAAAGAAAACATAATTTCAATTCCATTCTTTTTTTCTTTTAAAAACAGACTTTTTTCAAAGGTACACAATAATTGTTTAGTTGCTTTTCATTGGTCTCTGGTAGGAGACTGACCTACCTGTGTAAAAGGAACAGCAAGCCCATGTGCAACACTCAAAGGCCCTCTGTGTGCAGTATCTGTCCGTTTCTGCCCTAATTTCTGGACTCCAGGCTCCCCTTTGCTCAATAGCACACTCTCAGAAATGCTGTAGAAAAATGAGGAAAAAAAGTTGAAAGTCATGAGCTATAAAAGGCAGCACTCGGCGGGAAAAATATATAGACTGTATTGCTACTATATATTATATGTAATTTTCTAATATTCATAACCTACCTTAGGAGACGGATGCAGGCTGCTCCTCTCCTGAGAGCACTCTTGTTGGTCCGCAGCAGTGAAAAGTCGGTCTGTTTTCGCAGAAGTCCTCCAGCAGCCCGGCTGGTGCACACTGAACACTGAGCAACAGCTTGCATTTTGCAGCTGAGTTAGATCCACTGCACTTGAAGAATGTATTTAATATGATCTATGTTGACTGTAGATTTTCTGTTCTGCAATTTAATCTAATCTGCTCTCACTTTTCTTTGCAAAATCAGAGAAAGAGTCTTGTTGTTGCTTGCAATCCTTCAGTCTGAATATGACTAACTGTGGGGTCCTGCGAGTATTTGTAAGGTCCCGGGACCACTTCATTGCGTAAAAGGTATTGATCTGTTGACTCTGTCTTCATATGTACGTATTTGGCTTTATCTGAAAAAGCTAACAGAGACAGGAATTACGTGCTGGATTCTCTCTCTATCTTTCTCCATTGCGTCAAAGTGTATGCAAGGGAAAGTAAGAGTTAAAGGGCCAGTGTGTATTAAGCAGGAGCTATTAGCAGAAATAAAATATAATATGCATAACATGTTTTCATTACTACTGAATCATCTTAAACTAAGAATCATCAGGTTTAATCTTTTTCTTAGAATGAGCCTTAAATACCTTTACAGTACATATAGCAGGTCCTCTTCAACTGATTACATTCAAATTATGATCAATTTTAAATCAGATTTTAATCAGAACATTTTATTTTTTGTTTAAAAGGTTTGGATGGAACTGGGCTGCTAGCGGTTGTCCAAGTTTGCACAATCATGCATTTAATAAAAGTGGCCTCACATTTGAAATGTTGTTCAGGTAAGAGACCAGTTACTCCATGGACAGGCTGCTAATCCATGAGAAGGGTACATTATTCACACCATTTGTGATTTCTATTTTCTGCATCAAAGTCTGTTTACAGCCTTGGGGAGCACCTTATTTTGCTATATAGGGAACTGTGTTAAGGCTTATGAATTGCTGAAACTGATAAAAGGGATGTATTGTGAGGCAGCATCAGTTGGGGCTAAAGATTCCAATGAAAAAAGAAAGAAAAGAGCTTAACAGACCTCTGAATTCTCAATACTGCTAGACAACAGGCATGTGACTATTGTGTTATACTACTAGCATAACACAATATAAATGTTTTTAAAAGGAAGAAAGGAATGGGTGGAATAAAAAATACATTATCTCTTCTGCAGCAGGTCTGTATTTTCATCTGGCTTAAAATTCTACAGGAGTGCAATGCCTTTTTGTAACCCTACTGTTTTCTTTTCTCTTTTAACCCATCTCCCCATGAGTAAAAGACACATCATCAGAGTAGGCCTACTTTGCTAAAGTGGTGAAGTATCTACAACACAAAAGACAGGTTACCTTCCAATGTAATGCAAACTGTAATATCAAAGAAGGCTCTTTAATTATAGACTGGTGAATGTTAGCATATAGACACTAAACAGAAGGGTTCTCGTTTGCAAATTTCTTCCAAAAAAGGGCACACTTTTTTTCTTCAGACGGCCTATAAGTAGGAGCATTTTTATGCACACATTACTTCACCTGCACCCTGCTCTCAGCTTCACTGAAAGTAGCTTAGTAGTTTTGACACTTCTTCATGTATTTTTCTATTTCACTAAAATCCTGCTGCCAAAAATCTTGCAATAGCATCATTGTGTCTGATAGACTGCAAAAAGGTTATCTGCTGTGTTAGCATCCACTGGGGTTCAGTGGCAGAAAGTTTGTTTTGGACAAGGATTTGGTCCAATCCCCTGCAGTCCTGATTAATGACGCAGAACTTGCGTAGAGACCTGACAAGCCCCAGTGAGCCGCCCTCTACAGAGTACACTTGTTTGCCAAACAGATGCAAACTTCAGGTTGCACAATTAGACTCAGGAGCTTTACGTTAATAATCAACCTGTTAATCACTAAGCAGGGGATACGAGACGTGCTCTCTAACCGGGCTCTGGAGATATCATACAGTCACTCTCCACTGCTGCACATGTATGTTGTTTACACCAACTCTACATGGGTTTCACAATCTTCTTAAAAACAACAATGATTTTGCATGCATAAAAGTTATCTCTCTACTTTGATTACTGATTTTCGTAATGTTTTCTCAGAGTGTGGCACTGTGGCTCGGGGGGCGCCCTGTGTACTTAGATTGCGTCCTACTGCACTCCATGCTGCGTCTCCTCCCCTCTCACTACCCTTTACTGTCTACCTATATGTTCTATAAAAAAAAGAATGCAATTCACCACCATGTTTGTGTACCTTTTGGACTGCAGTTCATAAACATCTGAGCAGCCATACACAAAAGTGGATTCAGGGTAATCAGTTCTGAGATGCAAAGCTAAAAATATGCACCAAAAGGGTTCGCTTATCAAATGTTTTTTCCTTTTCATTCTCTTACCCTTAGAAATCACAGAAGCATGAAGTGTGATTACAAACAGGTAGGCCTATTCATTTTTTATTTAAAAAGAAAACCCCCATTCTGTTATATAATTTCACAATAACAAGCTACTTGTAAACTAACTGTCAGTCCTCAAATGAACAGAACTGACCTGTATGGACTGTCAACAATATTTACCTCTCTCTCTCCTCTCTCTCTCTCTCTCTCTCTCTCTCTCTCTCTCTCTCTCTCTCTCTCTCTCTCTCTCTCTCTCTCTCTCTCTCTCTCTCTCTCTCTCTCTCTCTCTCTCTCTCTCTCTCTCTCTATCTCTGGTAACATATGTTCACCCTAACAGACTTTGTAGGCAATCACAAAAACAACTTCTTTTTACACTGACATGAACCATGAACCTGTCATGCGCATGACAGGAATACACGTTTTAAGCCTAAACAACTTAATACTGTATATCAACAATATGTTTATAGAAACAGTTTTTTCAAAAATATGTTTAGTTCCTAACTTGCTTAAATAGGACTAATTTGAATTAAATGTTTGTATTGATTTTGTACTAATTCTTTCAACTATAATTTATGTAAAAATACAAAACTATTAAAATCCCCAAAGTACCAAAAGTAAAAGCACTCATTTTGCAGAATGGTACATTTCAGAATATTATGTATTTAATAAATGCCTCATAATAATACATGCATTAAAGTGTACTTTAATGCAGCAGGTGGTAACTATGGTGGTCTACTCTAGAATATCTTTGTGAACTTCCAGTACACAGCTTTTACCAACATAACACGCTGAACACCAGTTCACGAACTGCATTGAACGAGACACATCTGGAACAACTGACCCAGCCCACTTGAAAGTGTCCACTCGGCAGAATCATCACAGTGCCAACGATCAATATGAGAGATCCCTCCTGCAGCTGTGAAAGGCTCAGTGAAACTGCTCTGCGTCAGCAAAACAAATACTTAAAGTGACATTTTCAGCTTCTAGTGAGGTTGTCCAGTCTGTCCTATGGTTAGTTTTCCCCTACAACCTTAACCACTTTAGTGCATTTAATTTCACAGATGTTCACCAGATCTGAGTTCTCTGCTGCATTGTCCTTAAGAACAATTGTACCAGTATTGCATTAGGGTTTTTTGACATTGAGGCAGCTAGATATTTTCACACCAAACAGGGCTGCTTTTAATCATGTGGGCTGACAATAAGTTTGGGCAGAAAGTCAAATATTCAGCTGGTTTTTCCTATCATCTATAACCTGACCATGGCAAGTAGGTGCATCTCACACAAAGCTGCTGGTGACATGGTTGCATTGTTTTAAATATGCTGGTATAAAGCAGTGGTTCTCAAATGGGGGTACGCGGACCCCTAGGGGTACGTTGGAGTACTGCAGGGGGTACGTGAGATTTATTTTATGTTAATGAAAAAAAAATAGATAAATATACCAATTTTAGGAAAAGTAACGAAGTTTGAGAATGACAAAGATCCTCAGTGAAGCACAAGCCCATGTTTCTCACTAAATTGTAAGTGCAACTTATTAAAAAGATCAGTTCAATGCAACTAATGTCATCTTAGTGTTATTGCATGATATTAAAATTGGTTGTCCATGAATTTAGTGATGGATTGTAAACATTTGAAATGTAGCATTTAAGTGTTTCTCAGTTACAATGTTGTTGTTTTAATAAATCAGACACTGATGGTGCAAGGCTGTACTGTACTTCTTTATATAGGCTTTTTTTCCCTAACAAATAGTTTTTGCGCTGATCAGGGCGTACTTGGCTGAATTGTTTTTTCTAAGGGGGTACTTTATTGAAAAAAGTTTGAGAATCACTGGTATAGAGGGTTTTAGCAGAATGTATTGGTGCCGTTAAGATTCAATATTAAAGATACACTTTTTACCTATTTGTATTATGATAATTAATACAATTTAAATAATGGTTAATATTTTTATTTTATAGTGTGGTGTATTTGCCTTACTGTAAGTAAAGCTTCCAAATATGCAAAAACAAGAGCCATTGCAAATATCAAACCACCTGCACATGTCCAACCCACCTGGCCAGTAAGTGAGCCATAATTGCTCTGTTAGCTAGCTAGCATCATACAAACATACCTTTGCAAATTATCTCCAAATACCTACAGTTGTCCTTTGTTTTAAATCTTTGTATCTAACCAAAACAGTGTCTTTTTTTTTCTCCAATAACTGCTTAACCTAGTGACAACTAATAACTAACTAGTTTCTAACTAGATGTTGTTCATACAGAGAAATTGCAGAAAACCCAAATGTATCTTCTTTCTCTGAGCAAGTGGCACATTTTCTGTCTCTTTTATCAAACACATTGCAAAGAGTAAACAAGCAACAACTACATTTCTAACATTTGCTAATGTTCAGGGCCCAGCATCAAACAGCATGACGGTTATTGACAACATTAGCAAATAAGCTCTGGTAAATACTACTTCTAGCAAAGAGCCAGATATTCAACTCAAACCAAAGAGAAAATAAGGTTGAAGATTTTCTGTCTCCCTGCTGCCCAGGTGCACCTGGTCTGCCCCTGGCTCCGCCTCTGCCCAGGTGTTCCAAATTCCACTCAGTCGTGGAGATATAAAGAGAAGCTGGAGGAGAAGGATGTCTCGCCTATCCTGACGCCGGCCCGGGAGACACTCTCCTTAGAATATCTCTTTGCTATTTTGAGCTGTAGGCCATATTTTTACTGATGTGTTTATGTTTAGCCTGGAGAACCTGGTAGTCCAGTTTTCGCTCAGAGTATTCAGTCTTCTTGGAGACCCTGAAAAGAGTCCTGTATGGGGCTCCTGAAGGGGACTCTTTAATTTTGCTGGGAGACTTCAACGCACATGTGTGATTGGGAGTACAGTTAAAAGTGTTCACATTTTTGATTGC